GTTTTTGCAATAAAAAATCAAACAAATGGAATGATAAAAAATAATAACAAAATTGGTAAAAATAATTGAAAATAATTAGTAACTTTTTGATACATAAAACTTTCATAACTTGAAAATGTAAAAAATGTATCAAAATGTTTACTTGTAAATGCTACATCATTAGTAAGAATTATTGTAACAAATGAAGCTATTCCTCCAGTTACAATATTTATACCAATACCAACAAGAATTTGATTAATTTTTAAGGTTATTGTTAAAAATCCAAATATTAATGTTATCAAAAATACAAATAAAAATGAACCTAAAATACTTAAAAATGTATTTAAATATATTGCATTTTGAATTGTTATTGTTTTTTTTAAAATTAAACCAAAAATAACATATCCAAAAACACCTGTTATCAATTGACCTTCAAGTGCAAGATTTATAATTCCAGCTTTAGAACAAAATAAAGCAGTAATTGCAATTAATAAAAGAAAACCAAAAATTAATAATGTTTTTGTTTCAAAAAAATTACGTATATCATATCAATTTGTAATTATTTCACTCATTAAACAAAACTCCTATTATTTTGAAATTTTCTTTTAAATTGATTAAAAATAGATTTTATCTTTAATTTTTGTTCTTCATTAAAAAATAATTGATTAAAAAATGGAACTAATAACAAAATAAGACCTATAACAACTTGCGAAACTTCAGTTGTTAAATGACTAATTGGTATTGTATTTTGTTGACATCTAATTAATGCTATAAAAAATGAAACAAATGGCAAACCAATAACAGAATATTGCGATAATCAAACAATTGTAATTGTATCAAAACCATTATTTGGTAAAGCTTCATTTAAATATAACTTATTACTTTCAATATTTTTAAAATAATAAAACATTCCTGCAACTCCAGACATTATTCCAGAAATTAAGAATATTTTAAATACATTTTTTCTATAATCTATTCCTGTATATCTAACTGACTTTTTATATTTACTAAGCATTTTAAGTTTTAAACCATACCTTGTTTTAAACATTAAATAACCAATAAAAGAAAAAATAATGATTGAAATAATCACTGAAATTGGAATTATTTCAAAAATTGCAAAATTATATTGAACAATAATTCCTAATGATTCTTTTGTTGATAATTTTTCAATAGGATCTAATATTTCTTTTTGTTTTACTAAAAATCTAAATAAAAACATTACTATAAAATTAAAGAAAATACCTGTTAAAACTTCATTTATATTAAAATAAATTTTTAAAAATGCAACAAGTAATGAAAGAAAAACAGATGCAATTATTCCTGATAAAACTAATAATGGAAATCAATTTACATTTGGTTGTATTTTTTTTAAACCATACCCAGTAAAATAAATTACTAATCCAGATAATGACATTTGTCCTGCAACAAAAACATTTACAAGACCTGATTTATAACATAATAAAACTGATAAAGAACCAATTAAAAAAGGTGCAAAAACTGAAAAAATTTCTAATATTTGTCTTTTTGAAAAAATTCAATCATAAAATAAATTTTTTACTAATAAATTACCATTTTGACCAGGAACTGAAAATAATAATAATCAAAAAATAAAAATAACCAAAAAAATTGAAAAAATAGTAACAATTAATTTATTAATTCCTTTATTTAAATATTTATAATTCATTACTTTTATATTCCTTTTGTTATTAATTTACTTATTTTATTTAAAGCGTTTGTTTCTTTTGGATTAACTTCTCCCATAATACGCCCTTTACTTAAAACCAATACTCTATCTGATAAAGATAATATTTCTCCTAAATCTGTTGATGTAAATAAAATTGTTTTTCCTCTATTTCTTAATTTCATAAATTCTTCATAAATAAATCCAATCGAAAGTTTATCAATTCCTCAAGTTGGTTGATCAATTAATAATAACTCAGGATCATTTAACATTTCACGACCAATAATAAATTTTTGTTGATTACCACCTGATAATGTTTGTGCTGTTTCTTCAACATCATTTGTTCCTTTAATGTTGTATTTTTTACACATATTTTTTGTTATCTTTTTTATTTTTTCATATTCAATATTTCCAAAAATACCACTAAAATATTCTTGATTTTCAAGACTATTAAAACATATATTTATATATAAACTTTCATTTTTTAATAAAGCTTCATTAATTCTATCTCTTGGAACATAAGAGATACCATGTTTTTTTAATGTTTGTACTTTATATTTTTTTCAATCCATCTTTTGTTCTAAAAAATTATTTGAAAAAAAACTTGTATTTCCATCATAATAAATTTTCCCATTAATATTTTTTTCAATTCCAGTAATAGTTTCAAGTATTTGTTTTTGACCATTATTTTCTATTCCAGCAATTCCAACAATTTCACCTTTATTTAATTCAAAACTAATATTATGTAAACATTCTTTTTTATTATTTGATAAAAGATTTAAATTTTTTACTACTAATCTTTTTTCATCTAATACTTTTTTTCTTTTAAAATTATCTAAATCAAAAACCCTTTCACCTTCAACCATTTTTGAAATCATTTCTTCAGTTGTAATATCTTTTGTGTTATAAGTACCAATTATGTTTCCATGTCTAATAATTGAAACTTTATCAGTAATTTCTTTAATTTCATCAACTTTATGTGTAATAAATAAAATTGCTTTCCCAGCTTTTCTATATTTATCTAATAATTTTAAAAACTCCTTAATTTCATCTAAAGTTAAAACAGAAGTTGGTTCATCAAAAATAATAATTTCTGATTCTTTTGATAAAAGCTTTAACATTTCTGTTTTTTGTTGTTCATTAATTGAAATATCTTTTATTTTTCTTTCTAAATTTAAATTTAATTTATATTTTTTAATTAAATTTTCTAATTTTTTATAATTTTCTTTATTATATGAAAGTCATGAAATAATTTCTTTATCTTTTTTAAAAATTAAATTATTAAGTTTTTTTTCATATATATTTAAATGATTTTTGTTTTTTTTAATATATTTTTTTTCTTTAAATCACTTGTCTAATTTTTCAATTTTATTTTTTAATTTTTCTTCAATTTTTCTAATTTTATCTTGCTTTTTTAATTCATTTCCAAGAATTATATTTTCATAAATTGAAAAATCATCAATCAATGAAAAATGTTGATGAATTATACCAATTTTATTTGCATTTGAAATTTCTTGATTATGATAATTTATTAATTTCCCATTAATTTCAATCTTTCCAGAAGTTTTTTCAAATTCACCAAATATTATTTTAACAAGTGTTGATTTACCAGCACCATTTTCACCTAACAAAGCATGTATTTGACCATATTTTAATTCCAAATTAATGTTTTCATTTGCTTTTATACCATTTGGATAAATTTTAGTTATATTTGTTAATTTTATTGCAGTATTATTTTTAAACATTATTCTCTATTTATCATTTAATGATAAGTCTCTTTTTCTCATATATTCAATTGGATTTTGGCTACGAAGCAAATCATAATATTCTTTTTTATCTGCAATTTTATTAATTGATTTTAAATATTCTAAATATAAAAGTATTAAACCTTTATTATCTAAAGTAATTTTAGAAACATCAGTTTTTATATCTATCTTTGCAATTTGTGGTTTATTGTTACCTAAAATATTTGGACTTAAACTATTTAAATTAATAACATCTTTATACAATTTAGATTTAACAAAATATTTTTTTCAAATAATATCTTTTTTATATGATTCTGGTATTGTTCCAAAATTATGTCCTCCAAATATTAAGTTTTTACCACTCAATTTTTTATAAATTTCAGTTTTATAAATATTTTTAACAATTCTTTTATAATCAATTATTGCAGATGTAATTATTTTTTTTAATTGTTGACCACCTAAATTTTCTTTTGCATCAACATCAACACCTATAACAAAATGTTTTTTATTTGATTTTTCATCTTGTTCTAATGCTGCATCTGCTGCATCTGAAACAAATGGAACAGCTATCATAAAAATAATTGATGATCCATTTGCAAAAATTCTTTCACTAACTGTTTTTGCTTTCTTTTTAATAGTTAAATCAGATGCATCAAATGAACCAATTTCATCATATTCACTATGTATAAATTCAACTCTTTTATTAATATCATCTGTTTTATTTTTTAATTGATAAATTTTATTAAAAATATAAATACCCACTTTAAATCCTAAAGCATATTTTAAAATAGGATCAATTGTCAATCCACCAATACTACTAAAATGAATTTGTTTACCTGGTCTTTTTTTATTACCATCTTTTAATTTATCTAAATTTTCTGCTGCTCATGCTGCAGAATAAATACCAGCATGATAACCAGAATAATGTTGTAAAGAATTTGTTTGTCATAAATTTTTAGGTCAATTTATATCATTTTTATCTTTGCTATAATATGTACCAACTGAAACAAATTTAATATTTTCATCATAAGATTTTAAATACTTTTTTAAAAAAGAAGTCAATGTAAATCCTGGTAAAACAACTTTGTCAATACCATATGTTTTTATAAAGTAATCAATATGTTTTTTATTTATTTCTGGATCTAATGCGCTACCTGAAAATGCAAAACCTATTTTACTTGAAAATTCATTGTTTTTTCTATTACAGTCATAAGTTTTAATACCTTCACCTTCACAAACACCTTCGATTATTTTTTGATTAAATCCACGGTCATTATAACCTTGTGGAAATGTAATGTTAACATATGAACTTAAACTATCAAAACTTTTTATTACACTAAAAATAACTAAAATAACTAAAGAAATTATTATCAAAAATAAAAATAAAACTTTTTTTCAAAATTTTTTAGAAATTTCAGTATTAAACATATTTAATTTTATTATTTAATATAATAACAAAAAAAAATATCATTAAAAAAAACAAAACAAAACATTGTGTTAAATAAAGAAAAAAAAATGTTAAATTTTTAATATTTTATTTTTTTAATATTTTATTTTTTTAATTCTTGTTCTTTTTTTCAAATCAAAAGTATATTTCAAAATGGTTCAAAATCACCTTGCATAACTTTTTCAATATTTTTATATGAATAATTAATTCTATGATCAGTAACTCTATTTTGTGGAAAATTATAAGTTCTAATTTTTTCAGATCTCATTCCTGTTCCTACTTGTTTACTTCTTTTTTCACTAAATTCTTTACTTGCTTTTGATTCATAATAATTATATAAACGACTTCTTAATACTTTTAAAGCTTTATCTTTATTATCATGTTGCGAACGCCCATCTTGACAAGAAACAACAATTCCAGTTTTTAAATGAGTTATACGTATTGCAGAATTTGTTGTATTAACATGTTGACCACCAGCTCCACTACTTCTAAATGTATCAATTCTTATTTCATCAGGATTTATTTTAACTTCTGTTTCATTTCTTTCTTTTAAAATAGCAACTGTAACTGTTGAAGTGTGTACTCTTCCTTGTGTTTCAGTTTTTGGTACCCTTTGAACTCTATGAACACCTGCTTCAAATTGAAGTTTATTAAAAATTTGTTTATCTTTTACAAGAATTGAAATTAATGAATATCCTCCAGAATCTGTTCCACTAGTTGATAAAATTTCTGTTTTTATTTTTAATTTTTTTAAAAATTTAAAATAAGCCTGTACTAATTCAAAAGCAAATAATTCTGATTCTACACCACCTGCTGCAGAACGTATTTCAATAATTGTATTACCATCTTTTTCTTTTGATTTTTCTTCAAATTCTTTTTCAATTTTATTTATTATTTCTTCTGATTCTTTTTCTAAATTTAAAATCTCATTTTTTATTTCTTCTTTTAAATCAATTTCAACAGAATTAATCATTTTTTTTAATTGTTTAATTTCACTTTGATTTTTTAATCAATGATTAAAAAAATCAACAACATTTTTAAGAGAAGAAATTTCTTTTGAAATTTTAGTATATTCATCTAAATTAGAAATAACTTTACTATCTGAAAGTTTATTTATATTTGCATCATATTTTTTTTTTAATTTATTTAATTTTTCGTTTAATAACTTATTCATATTTATTTAAATCAAATTCAATAAAACATTTTCTACAACGTGGTTCATATTTACCTGTACCACCAATTAAAATTTTTGGATAATTATAATCTACAACTTTAAAATCTTTAATTCTTTGACTATGTGTTGCAATATTATTACATTTTGAACAAATAGAAAAATATTTATCAATTACATCTGAATAAACTAATAAATGAGATAACAAACTATTATATTGATTTCAATAATCTTTATCTAAACCACTACAAATAACAATTTTATCTTGTTTTATTAATTCTTTAATAATTGGAAAAATTGAAATATCTAAAAATTGTACCTCATCAATTGCAATTGCATCAAAATTTTTATTTTTTTCTAAAATTTTTTTAAAAGAATTTAAATCAGAAATTAAATTAGCTTCAATTTGTGTTTTATTATGTGAAATAAGAATATTTTTATAAGTATAACGTTTGTCAATTAATGGTTTAAAAACTAAAACTTTTTTTTTTGCTCTTCTTAAAACATTTATTCTTCTTATTAACTCTTCTGTTTTACCAGAAAACATTGGTCCAGTTATTAAAGATAATGTACCTTTATTTAATCAACTAATTCCACTCATAATTTAATTTTATATTAATTTTAATTAAATTATTTTATTCAATTGAAGCACCAGTAAAGTTATTTTCTTTAATAATTTTTTCTTGAATTGATTTTGGAGATGCTTTATAATTTAAAAATTTCATTGAATAATTTGCACGTCCTTGTGTTATTGAACGAAGAATAGTTGAATATCCAAACATTTCATCTAATGGAACTTCAGATTTAATAACTTCAATACCTTTATTTCTAGTTGTTTCTTTTATTGAACCTCTTCTAGAAGTTAAATCGCCAATAACATCACCATAATATTCAATTGGAGTTGTTACTTCAACATCCATAATAGGTTCTAGAATTTGAATTTTTGTTTTATTTTTTGTTTCTCTTAATGCCATTGCAGCAGCAACTTTAAATGCAAATTCAGATGAATCAACATCATGGAAAGAACCATCATAAAGTGTTGCTTTTAATTTAACAACAGGATATCCAGCAATAATTCCTTTTTCCATATTTTTTAATAATGATGTTTCAATTGGTTTAATATATTCTTTTGGAATTTTACCACCTGAAATTTTATTAACAAACTCAAAATTATTCTCTGAATCAACAAGTGGTTCAAATTTAATTAAAACATGTCCATATTGACCACGACCACCAGATTGTTTTGCATATTTTATTTCAACATCTGCAAGACCAGTTAATGCCTCACGATATGAAACTTTTGGTTGTCCAACTTTAACATCAACTTTAAATTCACGTCTCATTCTTTCAATTAAAACATCAAGATGTAATTCACCCATACCAGCAATAATTGTTTGATTTGTTTCATAATCCATTCAAGTTCTAAATGTTGGATCTTCTGATGCTAATCCTTTTAATGCATCACTCATTTTTTCTTGATCAGCTTTTGTTGCAGGTTCTAATGACATTGAAATAACTGGTTCTGGAAAGTGCATTTTTTCCAAAATAATTTGATTATTTAAATCACAAATTGTTTCTCCAGTAAATGTTTTTTTAATCCCTACTGCAGCAACTATATCACCAGCATATGCTTCTTTAATTTCTTTTCTAGTATTTGCATGCATTTGAATTAAACGACCAACTCTTTCTTTAATACCTTTATTAGTATTTATTACATATGAACCAGATAATAATTTACCAGAATATATTCTTAAAAATACTAATTTTCCAATGTATGGATCTGTCATAATTTTAAAAACTAATGCACTAAATGGTTCATCAGATGTTAATTTTCTTTCAATTTTTTTTCCATCAAGAGTTTCACCTTTAACAAGTTTAATATCATTTGGAGATGGTAAAAAATCTACAATTGCATCAATAAGTGGTTTAACACCTTTGTTTTTAAATGCAGTTCCAACTAAAACTGGAAAAATTTCACATTTTAATGTACCTTTTCTAAGTGCAGATTTTAATTCAGAAACAGTAATATCATCACCTTCTAAATATTTATTCATCAAATTATCATCAAAAGTAACAATTTTTTCTATCATTTCTGCTCTTGCTAAATCACATTTTTCTTTTAATTCTTCAGGAATTTCTTTAATATCTGCAATTTCATGTGGACCACCATCATAAAAATATGCTTTCATTGTCATTAAATCAACAATTCCTTTAAAATCTGATTCAGCACCAATTGCAACTTGAATAGGACATGGATTACCACCTAATCTATCAATTATTGTTTTTACTGCTTTTTCTGGATCAGCACCAATTTTATCCATTTTATTTAAAAAAATAATTCTAGGTACTTTATAATTATCTGCTTGACGTCAAACAGTTTCAGTTTGTGGTTCAACACCAACTTGTGCATCTAAAACAGTAACAGCACCATCTAAAACACGTAATGAACGTTCTACTTCAATTGTAAAATCAACATGTCCAGGAGTATCAATTATATTTATTTTATTTTCTTTTCAAAATACTGTTGTAGCAGCAGATGTAATTGTAATACCACGTTCTTGTTCTTGATCCATTCAATCCATTTGTGATTCACCTTCATGTGTTTCACCAATTTTTGTTATACGACCAGTATGATATAAAATTCTTTCTGTTGTAGTTGTTTTTCCAGCATCAATATGTGCCATAATACCAATATTACGTAGTTTTGAAATTTGTTCTAAATTCATTTAAATAAAAATTAACCCCTTTAATTTTTTTGTATATTTTTTATCAAGAAAAATATGCAAATGCTTTATTTGCTTCTGCCATTTTATGAACAGTTTCTTTTTTCTTATAAGCTGTTCCATCTTTTTTAGCAGCTAATTTAATTTCTTGTGTTAATCTTTCAATCATTGTTTTTTCTTTACGTTTTCTAGCTGCATCTATTAATCATCTTAATGCAAGTGCAATTTGTCTATCACTTGTAACTTTTGTAGGAACTTGATAACGAGCACCTCCTACTTTTTTAGATTTTAATTCAACATTAGGTTTTAAATTTTCTAAAACTTTTTCATAAACTTTTAATGGATCTTTTTTTTCTTTTTTTAAATTATTAAAAGTTTCATAAACAATTTTTAAAGCTAAATTTTTCTTTCCTGATTTCATAACAGAAATAATTAATTTTGTTACAAGAACTGAATTATAAACTGAATCAGGTAATACTTTTCTTTTAATTGGTTTTAATTTACGCATTTTTTATTTTTTTGGTCTTTTAACTCCATATTTTGAACGTGATGTTTTTCTTTCTTTAACACCTTGCGTGTCTAAAACATTACGTATAATTTTATATCTAACACTTGGTAAATCACGAACATTACCACCACGAATAAGAACAGATGAGTGTTCTTGTAAATTATGTCCTTCTCCTGGAATATATACTGTTACTTCTTTTCCATTTGTTAAAGCAACACGTGCATATTTTCTTAAAGCAGAATTAGGTTTTTTTGGTGTCATTGTTCCAACACGCAAACAAACACCACTTTTTTGTGGAGAGTACAAAACACTTGTTTTCTTATTTAATGAATTTGTTCATATACGTAAAATAGGAGTTTTAGATTTAATTCTTTTATTTCCTCTTCCTTTTCTAGTTAATTGATTTATTGTAGGCATAATTTATTACTAATTTTTATATAGTATTTTATATCAAAAACTTTTTTTATTCAGAAAAATAAACAAAACACTCCCTACATCTTGCTTGATATGCTTCACATCCTCCAATAACATTTTTAACTTTACTAGGACTTATTGGATTTCCATTCTTATCTATTCTTTGTGTTTTTGTTGCTATTTCACCACATTTAATACAAACAGCATGTAATTTTGTAACAAATTCAGCATATGATAATAATCTCATAACTGTTGGAAACATTTGATCATTAAATCCTCTATCTAAACCTGCACAAATAATTCTATAACCACTATTTGCTAATTCTTCTATAAAATCAACAAAACATGGTGAAAAAAATTGAATTTCATCAAAAGCTAATATTTTACTATTTGAATTATCATTTTCTAAAATATTTTTTACTTGTTCAGTTTTTGTTACAAAAAAAATATTATGTTTTTTTTGTCCATCATGTGTTGTTAGTTGACCAAATTCTTTATCACGTTTATCAAAATTAGGTTTAAAAATAAGTACCTTTTTTTTTGCTCTTTCTAAAACTGAAATTCTTCTAATAAGTTCAGATGTTTTACCAGCAAACATTCCACCAACAATTAATTCAATAAAACCATGTTTTAAACTTCTATACATTATTAAAACTAGTAATTAAACTTTCTCAATTTTTCTTTAATTTTTCAACTATTATTTTACTTTTTTCTTTTGAATTTGCATATGAAATAAAATAAAATTTAAAAATTGGTTCAGTAACTGATGGTCTACATGCAATTCAAGAACCATCAAAGAAAAATATTTCATATAAATTATCCAACCCTTCATCAAAATAAGTTGTTATTTTTTTAATAGGAATACCATTTAATTCTTTTAAAGATTTTATCTTTTCAATTATATCTTTAACTTTTACACCATTTTCTAAATTAATTTTTGTTTGTCTATAATCACAATATCCATACTTTTTACTTATATCATCTAAATAATCTAATAAACTAATATTTTTTCTATATCTTAAATATGAAGCAATTTCTGAAATTAAAAGTGATGCTTGTAAACCGTCTTTATCATTACTTAAATGTCTACATGGTAAAAATCCTAAAGATTCTTCAAAAGCAAATAAAAATTTTTTAATATCATCTTGTGAATATTTCATAGCAAGATTATAAAAACCAGTCATTGTTTTTTCTACTTTACATTTAAAATCTTGTGCTATTTTATAAACTAATCTTGTTGAAACAAAAGTCATATAAATTCCACCTTTTCATTGTAATTCTTTTAAAAGAAAATAAATAAAAATAATTGCAATTTCATTACCTAATAATAATTGATATTTTTTACCATCTCAAACACCAACCCTCATACGATCAACATCAGAATCATTAATAATTATTAATTCAGGTTTTTCATCTAAAGAATTTGCTTTTTTTATAGAAAAATCAAAAGCACTATCTGATTCTGGATTTGGATCTTTTAAAGTAGAAAAATTTGGATCATAAACACATTGTTCATCAACCAAAATAACTTCATAACCAGCTTTTTTTAATAATAAATTTACTCAATTAAAACCTGTTCCATGATTTGAAGAATATAAAATTTTTGGTCTTGAAGCACTTGATTTTGGTAAAGAAAGTTGATTTATAATTTCATATAAATAATTTTTTTTGTGACTATCAGTTAAATATCTTATTAAATTTTTATTATTTTTTAGTACTTTTGTTAAAAAATAATGATTTTTTTCTACAATTTTTTTATTAATTTCAAATACATCTTTTGATGAAATAATATGTCCTTTTGGTGAATAAATTTTGCATCCATTATATTCTTTTTTTAAATGACTTGCTGTAATCATAAAACCAAATGCTTTAAACTTATTTTTTAATAAATAAGATAAAAATGGAACTGGAGCAACATCATTTTCTTTATTAAAAATAACTTTAAATCCATAATGTGTTAAAACTTTTGCAATCATTTCAGATGCTTCTAATGAAAATTTTCTTGTATCATGAAAAATTATAAATTTGTGTTTTTTTAATTCATATTTTTTTGAAAAAACTTCAATAAAAGCAAGAATTAATTGTTTGATTGTATTTACATTAAATTGATTACTTCCATATCCAATTTTTTTTCTTAAACCAGCTTTACCAGAATTAACAATTTCAGAAAAAAATTCTTTTTGTTGTTCTATTGATAAATTTAAAAGAAATTCATTTTCTTTTGTGTTTGGTTTTGAATTTTTTAATCAAACTTTATAATTTTTTTCAAAAAACATATTTTTATTTTTTAATTCTTATTTTTTTATTAGTTTTTGATTTTGAATTTATTTTTAAATTTTTTTTATTTATATTTTCTTTTTTTTCTTCTTTTACTATTTTCTCTTCTTTTTTTATTTTAAAATCAAAGATATGTATTTTTTTTTGATTTTTAATTACATGTATAAAACATGCAATCATTATAAATACAAAAAATCCTAAAATAGTTACCATTAATATAATTGTTTTAATTGTTTCTGTTTCTGTCATTTTTTAAATTTAACCCCGTTTTTTGTTCTTTTTTATTTGTAATAATAGATAAAAATAATGGAATAATAATCATAAAAATAATTGTTCCTATTGTAAATAATCTTTCAGGTGAAGTTCAAATTTTATTTACTTTTTCACTATTAATATTTATTTTATCTTGTAATCCAAAAATATTTTGAAATCATATTGGTGTATTTTTAAAGTAAATTACATCTAAATTAAATAATTCAATAAATCCAAATACAACTAATAAAAATACAATTGGTAATGTTATAAAAATTAATAATCTTTTTAATCATTTAAATTTTGACATTTTTAAGTATGTATATCTTTCATTTGATTCAATAACTTTATCAAAATTTTTATAACAAACTAAAATAATTAATTCAAAAAATCCTACCAATAATACAAAATGATTTATTCACAAATCCTGTTCATCTGTAACTTTTACTTGATGAAAAAATAAAAACACAATAGATTGTAAAAAAGCAAATACTGATCAAAATAAAAGAATTTTTTTTCTACCAATATTAGGAAATTTTTCAACCATTGAATCAACAAATATTTCAATTAAAACAATAATAGATGAAAATGTAGCAAATAAAAATCCAATTATAAAAAATATAAATAATATTTGTCCCAAAATTTTTTGACCTTCCATATTATAAAAAATTTTTGGTAACTCTTTAAAAATTAATGCAGATCCACCAGATTCTGGTGAATTAAAAAATTCATTTAATTGTTTTTTTACTTCATTAGATGTACCGCTATAACTACTTGAAATTGTAGCAGTAATTAAAATGCCACTTAAAATACCAACAAAACTATCTGATGCAACAATCATTAATGCATCATTTCCTTTATCTGTTTTAATATCTGAATTTTTAGTTAAAACAATAAATGAACCAAGCATAATACCTGTTGAAAACATTGCTTGTATTGTTGCTTTATATCAAATAAATGGTCTTGTAAAAGATTCAACTTTAAATTTAAATAATTTTTCAATACCAATTAATGCATTTTTTCTAGTAAGTGCATAAATTGTTAAACCTATTAACAAAAAAAACAAACTAGGAACCAAAAATAAATTTGTTTTTTCTAAACCTTTTTTAACACCTAAAGAAATAACAATAAATATCAAAATTAATAA